TGCAGAAAAAACCCTAGTTTGTTTTAGGCTAGGTTTTTTATTTTTAATTTATCATTTTTTCAGTGTGTTTTTAATTTGTACTAATCAGTGGTATAAGCATTTGGCAGATACTCCAATTACATTTTTCAGAGTTTTGTTGTTTGTAGTGAACGCTCTAAAATAATTCTTTTAATTGTAAGTGTTATACCGCTGATTTCTAAATATTATAACTTTTCTCTTGTAATTAATTTTAGATGCCAATTTAGTAGCATTAACTGTTCTGTAAAGACCAGATATTACTGTCAAGAGTGCTCTTGTAACTAGCGATATATTATTTTCCAAATTTGATTTTTAGTTTTACTGTTACAATCACTGTTGTCTTTTTGTTGTTGAAATATTAAGACAGTGACCAGTCTTATTGTTGCTAGTAATAAAAGTTATTATGAAGCTAAACAACAGTAATGTCGCTTGTGCACTGAGAAGTTGTACAGAAATGTTACGACTTTTATGCTCCGAGTGTCTTCTCACTAAAAGGGGTTTCAACTTCGCAAGACAAGTTTATGCCTTTTATGCTAAAGTTTTCTTTGGAGCATTTCAGCTGACCTGTTGCTTTTCACGTTAGTAGCAAGCGTGACGTGCAGCTGAAAGTCGCAACTTAAATTTGGTTGTTTACACTAGACCTGTGTTTTTTAGTACCAATTTCTTACTTGGTAGAGAACCTAATGAATTGCTCATACCGTCAACAAATTTTCATAGAAAAGCAGTATCATAATACAGTTTCCCTACTTTATTTCCGAAACAAAAAGGTAAACAGAAAACTGAGAACATCCTAAAATTGGAAAAAATTAATAGTGGAACGCGAGATGTTGCTACCCTTTGGCCACTGATTATGCAGTATATTGTTTAGCAAATTGTCTTAATTTTTTTTGTAAAATATTTTACCAACTATTACTGAAAGTAATTTCTTTTTGTCAAACACTGAAAAGAGTGGTAAAAAAAGAAGGTTGAGGAAAGTTTATTGGCTCTCTTTTGAAGCTGGTTTTGAGCAAAATTTTTAGTTGGTAGAAGATTTTGAATAGTAAATAAATAAGTTGAAGAAGTTTTGCACCGCTGTGCATTTGATGAACGCTGGAGACTTCAAACCAGAGGGTAAAAATTTCACCTATATAACTGTATATAAATACTGGCCAAAATTGTTTTTCTGAACTTCCATTTAAAATAGCCATCAGTATAGCGAATATCTGAATAAATATATGATTCACTGATTACTGAGAAAAAATAGAACAAAAAATTGACAGTATTCGGAAATGCAGTAGTTTTCTTCTGTTATCGGCAAACAGAGATGAGTTTCGGGAACTTTTCAATACATTTTTTCATTGTTATTAGCAGAAAAATAAAAAGTCTAAAAATTAAAAAATAGCAAGAACCAAAGAATCTTTACTACCTCTTTATCAGAAAAGTTTTTTTCTTGAAGTTTTAAAACAGCTGTCAGAGATTTTCTAAACAAGTTTTGACTAAAGTGAAAAACCACAGCAAGGCGTAAACTGTTTTTTCTCAGTATGTAAACACATTATTGTATTTTCCTACTTATCCTAAATTATTAAAAAACTTATAATTGAAAAATGTTTTACGAGAAATTATCGGTTAGCACTCAGTTTATCTCTCCAAAAAGTTGTAAATCTTTTGTTTTCTTCAACTGATCTATAATTCTTCTGATTGGTATAAACGCTTTCAAACAGCCAGTTGATTGCAAAATCTGAAGAGCTAAAAATTCTACAATATTTAGAGAATTCAGACTTGTTCGAGAACAATAATATAAATAGAAAGAAAACGAAAAATAGGTGAAATGATAATCAATGATCAAGCTAGTAATACTTTTACAAAAAAATCAAAAAATTTTTTGCAAAAACAAATATTTCTGTAGAAAGTTTTTTTTTGTTGTTGTTGTAACAAAGTTGCATAAATTAATTGCTGTACAGAGGTCAAAAAGTAAAAGATTGCTGAGCGTAGGTTGAAAATTTTCAAAGTATATTTTGATTTCATCATTTTGATTTGTTGGCTGAAGAGAATAGCACTGTTTACTTCTGTTCAAAAAGTAATTCTCCATCCATTCTCACATAGATTAATTAAATAAGCACAAAGTTTAGACAGCTTAATTCAATAAAAAAATAAAGACGAAAAAGTAAGAATGACTGAAACAAAAGTTACCTGTTTGATTTCCGATAAGGCGTAAAGTAAACTCATTGAGAACTTAAATAGAATAGTAAAACCAAACAATTTCTGTACTCTTATACTAATATACAATAAGAAAAGGTTTGGAAAAAACGCTATCAGAATAAAAACTTGTTTCAGTTTAACTGTTAGCTTAAAAGCAAAAATAAAAAGAAACAATCTTTTTTTTCCCAGAACTGTATTTACGGCATAACATACATATAATTATCTTTTCCTTTCTCACTAGTACATTTAAATCTTAAAAAAAAATCTTCTATTTGCTTCTGTGTGGTCGACATTTCGTTATTAGTAGGCAGTTTTTAGAAGAAAAACCCTGGTGTAATTTTGCCAAAACTGTATTTTTCATCTTCAAATTCAAAAAAAAAAAAAATTGATGTTGAGCTGCTTTTCAAGTTTTGAAAAAATTCTTTTTGCTGTAAATTTTATGAATATTGCTAAACATAAGTTTGATTAAGAGATTGTGGACAAAGAACTTTACCATCTGACAAAATGGATTGTATAGTTTTGAGAAGTTTATGAAGAAACGTCTTTTTTTCTTGTCAAAATGTTAGATTAGAATTTTAGAAATAGCTCACGTGCTTTTTTATATTTCATTTATTCTCCAACTTCATAGGCGAGATGTACAATTACACTTTTTTTTCATACTAAACACCATTTATACAAATGAGCAATTATACACGAGAAAGAAAACTACAAAAATGTTTGACAGATATATTACTATTATAAGAAGCTTATAAGAAAATATAGATCAAATAATAACTGCAAACTTTGAAACTTGCTGTAAGATTTTATTATGCATTTGTGTGTACATAAGCTTTGCCAGCTATCTTCTGATATTTAGAATTTAAGCATCTTATAGACCGCAAAAACAATAAGACTTTTGAAAATCATTGTACAATATTAAGCTTCTGAGAAATTTTCCGTTAAAATTGTCCTTTCAACAAACAATGTAATTGTGATCAAATTATACTGTGCTCAAATTTTAAAACAATTCAAAAATATACTATTTCGACCTAATTGCTCCAGCGACAACATAGGAGTTCCTTCTTACCAATATTTTATTGAAAAGAGATATTTCTTAGACCGGATTTAGACAACACTTACAACAGAGCAAAAGGCAACAGCTAATAAAGAGACACTTAATTACACGATATGATCGGCACAGAAAAAGGAAAAGAAGAGATCAAAAATAACCGACGAAATAACACAAAACCCAAAATTAACAAACTTGCTTACCACCAGCGTTCAGAAGACTTTATGGAAAGTTACAGAAATACAGACTCTCAGAAATTAAGTAACACCGAACCTCACTGGTTGAGCGAGTATTTCAACAATGCTTTACCGTCGTTGCTTTAGCATGCTTTGCACTTCCTTATATGCAGGTTCTTTGGCGCCTGCATCTAATTAGCATCGGTCGGACTCGTACGGTTTTTGACTCATACCTAAGCCGGCGCCAGCATATGGTATAGTCCGAAAGCTTCGTTTTAAACTGCGCCTGTCTGACAGATGAAGCTCCCAGGCCCTGCTTCTCATGAAAGGAACTGTTGAATATGTACAACAAAATTGTTGCATGTGTGCAACATGTTTTGTGGTATCGTTGCCATATTATCTTAAGGCTTTGCTTACAGCAGCTTCAAGCCAGCAGTGTTAAGAACGGTGCAAAATATACCATTACTGATCAAACACATTGGAAGGATTAGCTGCAGAAGTAGCAAACGGTTAAACTATATGTAATGAGCAAAGCAGTCTTGTAAGCGGCTTTTTGACACAGTTCTTATTGCATTTTTTTTATTTTATCAGTCTTTTGCATGAACTTCATAAAAAATAATCAACTCGACGAAGCAGTAACAATATTCTTATCTGACTTATATTTGTTATTAAAAGTCCAAATGATTTATTATATTTGTTGACATCTAGTTTTATATAGCTGATACTTCCTAG